TGTTGTGCTCCAAGTGACAATCCATCTGTATTCGAAAGTCCCACAAGATCTTCACCTTCTCATTTTCTATAACTTTTTCCACTTTATGTTCCCATGACTTTTTGAATACAGGAAAGTCATATTTTTTACATAATGACCAGTGGATTAATTTAGCAACTTGGTCATGTCTAGCTTTGAATAATAATAATAATAATAATAATAATAATAATAATAATAATAATAAATAATAATAATAATAATAATAATAATAATAATAATAATAATATTTTTCCGTATTTCTTCAAGTTCGACTTCACTGAGCACTTTGTTCTGAGTGATGAATCGTTGCTGATCGGCCAATCATAATCCAGTTATCCTTGAGTCTGGGTATTCTTGTTTCCATAATTGGTACATCCTTTTTTGGTAGCCTCGTTTTTCTGGTTCTACTTTGTAATAGCATTTCAGTACATTGCGGTTCTCTGACATGGTGTATTTCTGCCGCTTCTGAGGTTGTTCATCTTCCAGTCGCTCTGCAGGCCCATGCCCTGGTTGCTCAGCTATGGGACTAGCGGCCTGTAGCCCACTTGTCGATGGATATCCAGGTTCCCCAACACCCGATGCAGTCCTTGTTAACCCGGGCGACGACCGAGCCGGTATAGGCTTCGTTCGGTTGTGTTTCACCATGATTCATTGCATGGGTTGTTGGGTGCACTCAGTTCTGCTCCTCAGCCTAGACCTCTCTGACATGGTTAGACCTGCTGGTAGTTTACACTACTGCCAGCACAGCTCTCAGCTTCATTGGAGCAGTTAAGCACCCCGCCACGTCAAGGCAGCACCCTGAATACAGACTGACAAAGTTTTGGAACACAATACCCCGGATATCATGATTGTGGAGAAGAAAAAAGTGTGGATCGTCAACATTGCCATACCTGGTGACAGCAGAATTGATGAGAAACAACTTGAAAAAAATCACCAGATATCAGGACTTGAGAACTGAACTGCAGAGACTCTGGCATAAACCAGTGCAGGTGGTTCCAGTGGTACTCGGCACACTGGGTCCTGTGCCTAAAGACCTAGGCAAGCACTTAAAAACAATTGGTGCTGACAAGATCACCATTGGTCAGCTGCAGAAGGCCACCTTACCAGGATCTGCTCACATAATCCGCCGATACATCATGCACTCCTAAACGCTTGGGAAGTGTTCGACTAGTGATTTGGGATACGAAATCCAGCATGGTCATCTCGTTTGCTGTGTATACTGTCATAATAATAATAATAATAATTACTTTAGAGGGCAGCATCAAGGCCACTACCACTGCTGAGCATTTTCAATGGTTTTGTAAACAATGTCCAGTTTTTTTCTGCACGACTTGCTTGACGTTCCAACATTCTTGACATGCGACATCAGGGAACTCCAGTGATGGCATATGATTTTTTTTGTATTGCTTAAGACAAAGAAGAAGACCACAAGTCCTCTGTATCCATGTCTGCATCATCCTACTGAAAGGTAAGTCCACCTCTGGAACAGGTAAAAGTAAGTAAGTTAATTTCCGTAGCACCAGAAAGTTAGGATAATGGGGGAGGGGGGTGAGTTATGGTAAATTTTCCACACATTATTCTTGCTAGAGAAGAAATGGTTGATTAGCTTTCTCTTTCCACTGAATGTTGAACCTTTGGGGGCCTAGAAAGTGCCCCCCACAAAAGAGCACTTTATATACTTATTTTACACAATCAGAATAAGACTCTCCATACAAATGAAACAGAGGTTTCCAGTGACAAAAAGAATTGGTGTAGGGCCCAGTTAGGGAAGGGACAGTTTCCAAGATACGCAGGCCTGAGGTTGCAAAGAGCATCAAGCCCTGAGGACCAGCCCTTTTAATTATGCCTGGAAATACATTGGTTCCCAATTCAAAGGAACAGTTAATTTCAAGGTTCTAAATATTCATACTCATGTGAAAATAAGTTCAGAAACTTGGACCTTACCAATACCTCAACTTTTCAGATGCGCACACTTTTCAGTTAATGATGAGGGATCTAGTCTCCAAAGCCCCTGAAGGCAGGACAAGAAATAATAGATGGAAATTAATTAAGGAGAGAAGCAACCTAGAACTAAGGAGAAATTTCCTGACAGCTAGAATAATTAATCAGTGGAACGACTTGCCTCCAGAAATTGTGGGTGTTCCAACACTGGAAGTTTTTAAGGAGATTGGGCAACCATTTGTCTGAAATGATATAGGGTTTCCCCCCTGAGCAGGGGGTTGGAGTAGAAAACCTCCAAGGTCCCTTCCAATTCTATTATTCTGTTCTGTTCTGTTCTGTTCTGTTCTGTTCTGTTCTGTTCTGTTCTATTCTATTCTATTCTATTCTATTCTATTCTATTCTATTCTATTCTATTCTAAAGAAATTTTTAGAAGTCTAAAAAGTGGAGATTGGGCATCATCTTCACAATGAGAAACACTTATAATGCTATGCAGTGGTGCGATTCAAATAATTTAACAACCGGTTCTCTGCCCTAATGATTTCTTCCAACAACCAGTTTGCCAAATTGCTCAGAAAGTTAACAATCGGTTCTCCCGAAGTGGTGCGAACTGGCTGAATCCCATCACTGATGCTATGGCTTGGAAAAGTTGTTTTAACAAGGCACAATATTTTCCTTCCATGTGAGGAAAATGTTGCCATTCCTGAGTTCACCTCTGGTTTGGATCTTAACCCAATGCAGAATATGCCTCATTTCTATTCTCACTTCATTTTTCACTGTTCTACTGGCTAAAATAAGTGTTATCTCTTGCTCGCCTCCTTTTTTTTTTTTTTTTTGCTACTTGATATACATAAGTTTCTTTTGAGACAGAGAAGTGAAAATTTCCTCTGGTATTAATTTTACCATAGATGGCCATATATCCCAACCTATCTTTCTGGAAACCTTTTTTTCCCTTGTGAAATTGGGAGGAATAGTCCAAGAACAATAATTTTGGGGAAAGTTCAATTAAGATGATTAAAGGCCTGGAAAATAAAACCTATAAAGAAGAGTTGCAGGAATTGGGAATGACTAGAGAAAAGAAGGACTAGAGGGAACATGATAGCCGTGTTGCCACAAAGAAGAGGGAGTCAAGTTATTCTCCAAAGCAGTAGAAAGGCAAGATAAGAAACAGTGAAAAATTGTTAATTTCAAGCTTCTAAATATTCATACTCATGTGAAAATAAATTCAGAAACTTGGACCTTACCAATACCTCAACTTTTCAGATGCTCCCACTTTTCAGTTATTGATGAGGGATCTAGTCTCCAAAGCAGAATAGAATAACTCTGTTATTCTATTCTATTCTAAAGAAGTTTTTAGAAGTCTAAAAAGTGGAGATTGGCCATCATCTAATCAAGAAGAGAAGCAACTGGAATTAAGGAGAAACTTCCTACCAGTGAGAACAATTAACCATTGGAACAGCTTTGCTTTCAGAAGTTGTGGATGTTTCATCACTGGAGGTTTTTAAAACAAGACTGGACAGCCACTTGTCTGAAATGGTATAGGGTGGTTGGATTAGAATACCTCCAAGGTCCCTTCCAACTCTATTCTGATTGACTGATTGATTGACTTTTCTTTCAGGATAGATAACTGAGGTTCCCTTTCTTTTTTCCACAATATAAATTATAACAAAAAACTGGCCCAGTTGACTGGCAAGTCTAGTAGTTTTCATTTCACAATCAGGGCAGACCACCAATGTAAACCACAGTGATATCATGCCATAGAGTCATTTCAATGGGCCATGCTATCTCCATCTACCAAGTGTGCGGAATTGGACTAGAGCAGATAACCAGACCGCTGCCTGAAGTGTTAGCAAACTGTTTATCCCCTGCTAGGGAAAACATTAATATGGATATCGGTGCCCTAGGAAAATGAAATTTTCAAGATACGTATTATCTGCAATGTTATTGTAGCAGAACTCCAAATGCTTATAGGGAGAAGAGAAGAGGCCTCAGCCACTGCAATTGCAATAAAAAGGAGAAGAGAGATACAAAGATCAGACAAAATGAAATGGTTGTATAGAGAGAACCTCAAAGGCAAGGGGATTTGGCAGTCACAGGGGGAGGCAATTACAAATGAATGTGAATGTCTAAAAAAATGTTATCTAAGTGTTCTCAATTTTTGCTTTTAATTACTCATTTGCATCAGGCCTGGGGAATTTTGCACAACATTAGCACAGGTGCAGGCGAGCTCAGCTAATTTCCCCAGGTGGTGCTTAATTACTTATATATTTATTAATTCAGACTTGATATTGAAATCTAAAGTCAATTAATATACCCGAGAATAATATCCCCTCTGTATAAAGTTGTAGTCTGCATTGTATCTCTGCAGGAAATCTATTGACGTGACTCAGAAAAGTCTTTTCTCAGGTTGTCTACAAACCACTGTCTCTTCTATGGGACTCTATTTTTATTTTTATTTTTATATGTATTTTTATTCTGCTTGGACCAATGGCCGGCCTTCATATTAATATTCCCAGCAGGTCTGTCAAAATTGGCTAAGAATTATTCTGACTTCAGTCATCATTTGAATTGTCTACAAAAAGTTAGTATAGTCAGGTTGGAAGGAAGAAGAGAAGGGAAATAGTATATATGGGTAGTCCTCGACTTTCAACCATTCATTTAGTGACCGTTCAAAGTTACAACAGCACTGGGAAAAATGTATTTATGACGGCTGCAGTGTCCCAGGTTTATGTGATCACTTTTTGCAAACTTCTGACAAGCAAAGTCTATGGAGAAGCCAGATTCACTTAACAACCGTGTTACTAACTTAATAATTGCAGTGATTCACTTAACAATGGTGGCAAAAATAGTAGTAAAATGAGGCTGTCTCAATTTGGGGTTCAATTGTGGTTGTAAGTTGAGGACTATCTGTACTGAGACCTTTACTATAAGTTTTTGGAAACAATTATATAAAATAAACAGCTTTTCATAGGAACCAAAATACTTTGTCTATCTGAAGTCATAACAATGATCTGAAATTTTATGTTTTCAGATAGCGGACATTGGAGGAGACTAAAGACTCCAGGCAGAAAATAAACAGGAGAAAAAGTGTAAACTCACCTTTGGTTTTTGGTTAGTATGGAAATTTACAAAATGACACAAAACATTATAACATTTGGAATACACCAGGAGATTTTCAAAGAACGGGGCCAGAAATTAGCAGTTACAGTGTCTACAATGTCAGTGATGATGACTGCTTCTATGGATAGACTATGTTTATGTAATTAAAATCTTATACCTACAACCAGTCTACAAACCCCTCAGAATCCAAATTAACCCCTATAGCCAATCAGAGACCGCACCGAACCTCAACCAACCCACACAACCCCCCCAACCAGCCCTTCACCTCCCAATGACCACCCTGACATAACCTCCCCATCACAAGACCCTTCACAAGACTCTCACTGATGTCTCACACCTGACTCATCACAAAACCCATTACAACACCCTCACTTGACACACCCACACCTGACCCATCACAAGACTGATGGTACTGACCAGGGGTGAAATCTAAAATTTGTTACTACCGGTTCTGTGGGCGTGGCTTGGTGGGGGGGTGTAATGTGGGCATGGCCTTTTTTTTTTTTTTTAACTTTTAAAACCATTTTTTCTACAACCTCTTTGCTTAAGAGGTGGTTAAAAAAATGCTTTCAAAAGGCTCTGACAATCCCAGCTGAGTGCCCTGATCAACAGGGGCTTTTAAAAAGCCTCTGCTGATCAGGGAACTCAGCTGGGATCGTCAGAGCATTTAAAAGAAAAAAAACCCCTTTTTTTCTTTTAAATGCCTTTGACGAGCTGCGCGATCATCAGAGGCTTTTCTTTAATATACTTTTAAAAGCATTTTTTTGGCCGAAGTTGTAGAAAAAATTGTTTTAAAAGTAAAAAAAAGCCTCTGATGATTCTGCAGCTCAGCTGGGCATGGGGGGGGGATTTTTGCTACCGGTTCTCTGAACCACCTGCCTCCATCGCTACCGGATCGGGCGATCCGGTCCGAACCAGGAGCATTTCACCCCTGGTACTGACCACACAAAGGCCTTATAAACAAAAGGATGCTGGCATCCCCTAAACTCCACTGAAGATGTTACCTAGCCTGGTAACAAAATGTTCAGAAACCAACCCACAAGCTCAGAGAACAAACCTTCACTCTCAAAATCTTATATATTATATGTGTAATATATATATATATATATTTCATATTACATATAATATGTATTTTAGTAAAGCCCATGATTAAATTATGCATTCTACATATTAAATATGCATTCTACATTTAAAGAACTTGCACTGAATTCTGGTAACTTTCTGCAAGGGGAAGTTGCACTCTGTAAACCGTTTCTGCTTCCTGTGGATTCACCACTTGGCAAGGTTATTGTCTCCGCTTTAAGACAGAGCAGTGGATTTTCTCTCTTTCAGCTTTATGTAGAGGCCCCGATAATTAAAACAAGGAGGGGACTGAGCAGAGCCTTGAAGAAATATGGTATCAGAAGGCACTTGAAGAATCAATGCAGAGAGGAAAGGAGAATAAATCAAGACACAAGTCTACAAGTACTTCCATAAAACCAGCCGTGCAGTTACAGTAGGCACATTGGGATCCCCAATTAAATGGCTGCTTAAATTAACCAAAGAGAGGAAGAAGTGGTTTTTAATTGATTTGACCTATATAAAATGTTCGTTCCCTTGCCTTCTTTGAGGACTTTTTGCCTGAATAGCAACCATGAAAACTTTTAAATCATGCTGCACCTTGAAAATGAAGTGGAAGCTTTGTGGCAAACCTGGGCGTCTTCCAGATATGTTGGGCTACTGCTCCCACGTTACTGTAGAGCTACGCTGTGGGGAATCATGGCTACTCTGATGCAAATCACCTGGAAATGCCCAGTTTGGGGAGTGGGGCTAATTTATGGAAAGAGATAATCTATGCTGAACTTCTCAGATACATTTGTAGAAATCATTTATCCCTTCGTGGAGAATTGCATTTTAAAACAGTTAGAAAAGCCAAAAGGAAAAAAGAATACAGGTTTGAAGTTTGTAAAAGGTTCACATTTGTAAGGAACATTGTTATATGACCAAGCTTCATTCCATAAGATTTGCTTTCAGGAAAATGAACAGAATTATTCATTCAGTTTCAGAATGAAACTGAACAGAATTATAATTTCGTAACATCTGGAGAGCTGAATCTATGATCCTCCTTATGTTGTGGAACTATAATTCCCAACAATCCTGTAAAACACAGTAAAATGTTGAAGGATGTTTGGAGTCTCTGTATCTGGAGAACTATAGGTTTCCCATTCTTCCCTGAGCATCATAAGGTTGAAAGAATGTGTATATTTTCCTTGGAAATGAACCAATCAGCTGCATGAACTGTCCCAAAAACACTTTCAGGGACTTTTTTTTGTTTGCAAAAACAAACCATAATGCATACAATTAATAATGTATTATGAGACACCCAATGCTGTTCATTGCCTACAAAAACAAAAGAACAAAAATATGTAAACTTGATATAAAATGTATGTCTGTTCAGTTTGCCACTCTTCATTAAAAATAATGTTGAGAACACCTCAGGGAAAGAAATGGTGAACTGAAGACAACTAATGTAATCATCACTGATGATTACAGTGAAATGAAGAGCCAGAGGGTAGACCAGCTCTTCATAATTCCACTCTGGACAAGAAGAGCAATAGCAATAGCAATAGCATTTAAACTTATATACCGCTTCACAGTGCTTTCCAGCCCATTCTAAGCAGTTTACAGAGTCAGCATATTGGGTCCTCACTTTACCATCCTCGGAAGGATGGAAGGCTGAGACAATCTTGAGCCTGGTGAAATTTGAACTGCCAAATTGCAGGCAGCCAGTAGCCAGCAGAAGTAGCCTGCAGTACTGCATTCTAACCACCAGGCCACCACGCCTCAAGAGGAGATTTCCCATAAGCATTCCAGATAATTGCTCCTCACAAGGAGAACATAATACATTGTTCTCTGATGAATTTTGAGCTCTGGGGAATGAGAGAAACCATGGTCAGCACCTTTATAGACACTGGGTTTGCATACTTTAGGATCTTTGATCAATATATCTGAAAGCACTGAGTTTCCTTCAACCTTTGGCAAAATAAGTTTTAAATACAAGCTTAAGGACTTTAGAAAATTGGGGTGGGAGAAATATGCAGCAAAAGGGTGATTAGAATTTTGATTTTGAAAAAAAACTAAAGAAATAAAGGTCCAGATGGATTTCAAGTAAGATTTTGGAATTAATTATGAGAATTCGTCCTGTGAGAAAATGATGTTTTTTGAATTGTTTTTAAAAAAGATAAGATAGAACTTTAAAGGCAGTAGAGGGAACTAGAATAAGCTAAAAATTAAAGGAGAAGAATTCCCCAGCATTTTTGGATTTAACTTGGTCTAGGATGCTCATTGTTTCCCAGCTGAAACTTTGTTAGTCTTCTGCCTGTCTGTCCTTCATAGTGGCTGTTACAGTTCTTATTCTCTATGTTGCAGAGTAAAGGGCTGTGGTGGCTCATATGTTAGGACACTGAGTCAAAAGACCATTGAGAGGTCAACAGCTCAGCAGTTCAAAACCCGAGAATGTGAGCCGTGTGACAGAATGAGCTCCTGTCAATTTGCCACAACTCCTGCCCATCTGGCAGTTCAAAAGCATGCAAATGCAAGTAGATAAATAGGTACCACTTTGGTGGGAAAATAACAAGGACATGAAAGGAGGCCTCTCGAGCATCCCCTGGATAACAGTGATGTCACTGGCTAATCCTTTCAACCCAGAAATGCCTTGATAGGTACTTCTGACAGGAATGCAGTTGTAGTATGTTACAAATGCCTCCTGCTATTTTTCTTCTTGAGCTGCTGGTTGGCTTAAGATATTTTGGAGGGCTTTGTTGTATCATGCAACAAAATGGATATTCATGCAATTTTATCAAAAAAGTGCTTGACTACTCAACCCATTGCAGCATAATCAATACAAGCTATGAAAAGCATAACACAATCCGTACATCAAAAGCATCTCAGAAACAACCAACAGACTACCACAATCAAATAGCACCACTGTAGCACACAAACCAACCAAAGTCATTTAGCTGGGAATTGCAGGATTCATCAAGGGACCATTAGGATTACACAGTTTATAGCCCAATGCCTTGGAAGGCAGAAGGAAGAGAAAGTCTGCCATAAGACAATCTCTTCTTCAGAACCAAACAATGAGCTCATTACACACAACATAGGCATTTTGTCCCACCACACAGCTCCTTAGCTGTCTTCAGTCCTCCTTCGGTTCTGCCAAATTTAGGGTACTAAGGTCTCCCTCTCATTGTGTTTTTCAAATCAAGTGATTAGAGTATGTTTTTCTTGTTGTGGAAAGAAATGCACCAAGACACTGATGAATGGGGAACAGGTTAGCGGCTGGGTGCCACTTTGGCCAGCTGGAGAAAGGTCTGATTAACTCAGGGGAATATTGAGCTCTGCAAGAACATCAATAGTGTGAACATTCATAAAGTGGTGCAAAAATGCTTTTAAGTGTTTGGGGGTTGGGAGGAAGCTAAATTTGGAAATGCAGTGTGACGCTCAACAACACAAAGAAAAGACTTTTCTAATCACAGCTCCTCCACTAACTTTGGAGTGTTCCCCAAAGGAGCCCTCCGAATTCCACTGTTGCAATCGCTCCAACGCCAGGATTTAAATTTCATATAAGGCGATTTTACGGAATGTTTAATGTCTCATTTCATTGCTGGATTCTTATTATGCTGATGAACACTACCTTGCCCTGAAGACCTAAGAAAGGATGAAGGGTAATATAATACTTTCAATGTAGATCTTTTTAATACTATCGTGGGAATTATGTGCTCAATCCCTTTTCATGCTCATCGTAGCCCGGGTTTTTAAGAGTGGGAGTTATAAGGAAAGACATCAGACCATAGACACATGCTAGCTCAAGGGTCATGCTCAGGATCACATCAAGTTAGCCCTAAGGCAAAGCACATATCCGTCTGCTGGGGCTGCCGAGAGCAGAGCTCTTGATTTGCATTCGCTCTCATTTAATACTCCCTTACTTGGTAATGTTACTGTGCAGAAAA